AATTGTAGCATGGCTTTCGATCGTCACATCACCGATGCTGTACGAAACCATTTGTTTGCAAAACCAGGTGGGCTACTAACTGGAATCGACCTACCAGCCGTCAACATCCAGAGAGGTAGAGATCATGGAGTGCAGCCTTATAATGCATACAGGTATAATACTGTCTTTCACTTTTTTCAATGGAAAAAGAACACTGGCTTCTTACTTTAGAGAGCTTTGCGGGTTAAACCGAGCTCGAACATTCGATGACTTGCGATCCACAATGGACGATGCAGCAGTTGATGCTCTGAAAAAAATCTATGAAAATGTGAATGACATTGACTTGTTCCCTGGACTTATGAGTGAACGACCTATCAAAGGTAAATACCTTTTTCACATCTTTAGTATCTGTTTTACCATATGCACTCATAACACTTATTGCAAGTAAGGAGACAATCAGCAATCATCATTGTTTTGAGATTGTTTACGGCGCAACCTCAGCATTTGAACAGAATTATTAAGCACATGCACCGTACACAACTAAACGATATCTGACGGCATAGTACGCATGCGTAACTCTCCTATAAATATCTCCAAATCCCTGCTTTGAGTTTTGGCTGAATCGACATATTTGTGTGTCTTCGTAATCTCATAACCTATTTTTATATGTGCGGGAGAGAAGAGAAGAGAGGAGTGATCTCTGAGTTAGGGAAAATCTACCAGAATAAATATATAGGTATAATGGTGACTGGGTCCATTTCCAGGAGCGTTGGTGGGACCGACGTTAGCATGCATCATAGGCGAACAAATGCAGCGGTTGAAAAAATGCGATCGCTTCTACTACGAAAATGACTTGCCTGCAACCAGATTTGCACCAGGTTTGTTTACACATGGCCCTTGCAAAACAAAGCTTTTTTTGCTTCCTAGCAGAAAAAAAAGGAATAAATCTTTGGGTGGACTCTGCCTTTTCGGAACATTCCTAAGACTCTATTTTGATTTCTTTTGGAACAGTCTCCCAATCTTCTTT